GCGAGAAGGCATGCAGTAAGGGGGGCTGTGTCTGGACAGTTTGTGGGGGTAGGCTGCCAGATTTATCCTCTGGGATGTTGCTGTGAACCCCTTCAGTTCTTTCAGCTGCCCTTGCTCTGGTGCCCACCCTGTCCACCACACCGCCCTGGTCTTAAACCTCCATCACATCCCGGTGGCACCAGTGACACAGCCCGTCTCTTGCACTGGATGTGCTTCCTTCCCAGCCCAGGGGAAGAGACACTCAGCAAAGGCCATCTCCCTTGCCTGGCCACTCGCCGTGCACCTCTGGTGCACCAGGCCCATTTGCCTGCTGAGTGACAGCCTGGCTGCCTGTGTAGGTGCATGTGTCAGTGGTGTGATTGCCTCTCTTACCTCACCAGGGAGATGCTCCTGAAGCCAGACAGCAAAATCCAGGTCATCGAAGGTGCCAAGAACAACCTCCCGGACCCAGAGGCTCTGAAGGGAGCAGTTGCCATCCAGGAACTGGCTGAGGGTCTGACTGTGGACGACCTGCTCCTTGTGCTCATCTCAGGTAGCATGGGGATCCCAGGGAATGGGCTCTGCTGAGGGCCCTCCAGCCGCCTGCCCACATGTGACCATGCAGCAGGGGAGCACTGTGCTGTGCTGGCCCTTTCAGTGCTGACACTTGCACCTCTGTGATTTTTCCTCTCCCTTCTCCTGCCAGCCTTTCTCCAGGGATGCAGCAGGGGAGGGCATGGGGCTACCTGCTGCTGCAGTGGACACGCTATCTCCCAGCACTGGGGAGAGGCTGAGCTGCGCAGGCTGGGTCCTGTGGTTGTGCCACCACTGTGAGATGGCACCTCTGGGCACAGCCTGCCAGCTGTTCTCACCCCTTGCCAAGGAGACACTTTCTTCCTGCTCCCTCTTTACATTTGGGAATGCAGACTTGGAGAAGCAAGCACTTGGTGGACTTGCATGCTCCGAATTTGTGCAGGGGTGTAAGTCTGTAAGCTGAGATTCAGGACTGACCCTTCCCAGGGCTTTGCTGCTTCCCAGCCAGTGGAAATGAGGCCTCCAGGTTCCAACACAGTGAGCATGTGCACGCCTTGCAGGGTCAGCCCTGAACACCCCCAGGCCCTGCCTGCTGGGCCCCCGGGCTGTTCCCAGACCCAGGGCTCTGTAAGGAAGGTGGATATTGTGCATCAGAGGGATGCAGTGACGTCACCCCAACCTGAGCTCGGCTGGGTGAGTGGGTGTCACAGGGCAGAAGCATGCAGGGGCTTGGAGCAGCTCTGTAGAAACTCCTCTGCTCAGTGATTGTTTCTCTATGGATGCTCAAGCCTGATCTGGTGCAGAGAGAGTAGTGCTGTTAGGCAAACAGCCAAGCGACTGGAATCTAGCTGCACTTGCTGGGGATTCCCCTGGGCTTCCTCCTGTCCTTTGGCTATGGGGATCTCCAAGAGACTTCTCAGCCCTTCAGGGAGCCTGTACAGGATCTCCCCGTGGCTGTGACTCCCTATGCATGTGCACTCCCACACAGCAGCCGGTCCCCAACTGCTCCTGCCTCTCAGCTAGATCCCTGGCTATTGACTGAAACACAGGCATTTGCATTTGTTTTTCTTGCTCATCATGTTTTATTGATGCTGATTGCCTCAAACCTCTGAGCAGGCTTTGCCTTTTGACAGTAGCTTTCAGCTGTACTTCTGTGCACGTTCACTTTCTGCTCAGATCTTGTTCCTTTCTGCTCTGTATTTTCCATCCATTCCACTTTTCCATTAGAACCTTTTTTCTTTGCCTTCTTTTCCGCATTTCCAATGCCTGCTTGTATCAGACAGGATTCCCATCGATGAGGCTATCACCCCAGACTCTGGGTGTGCTTTGTCTTTTGCGTTACTCTCTCCCCCTTTCCTTTACTCCCAGGCCTAGATGAGTGCAGCTCAGCAGTTTCCGATCTTGCTGCAGCCATAGCTGGTGTTTTTACACACTGTCCTGAATAAATGGAGCCAGCAAAGCAGGCAGTGTCTCCATCTGCTTAGCACTGCCTGCTGTGTGAGTCGTGGAGCCCATGCTCCCTGCTCACCCATCCAGGTAGCCCGTGAAAATCAGTGTGATGACACACTAGTAGCCTGATGTTGCAGGGATAGTAAGTTCTGGCCCTTCTCTGTCATCCCTGCAACACTGCAGGCATGTGGTACCCTGGTCCGGTGAGGTTTACACTGCCCAGATGAAGTGTAGCTGACTGCAGACAGTGCGGGGCAGCAGCAATTAAAACCCATTGGTGAAGACGACTGAATTCTCCAGACTTGTTAGCACAGTTCCCCAACCACCTCTGCCTTCCCGCTGCGCATTGGTGAGGGAAGAGCAAAGGCTCAAGTGTTGAACAGCCTTGCTTACGTCCTGTCCTCCTTTTCCTGCTGTCCTGATGTTCTTGCCATCTCTTCTGTATCCTAGGGGGTGGATCAGCCCTACTGCCTGCTCCCATCCCTCCCATCCTCCTCAAAGAGAAGGAGAAACTCACAAAGATGCTGGCTTCCCGAGGAGCTGCCATACAGGAGCTGAATATTGTCCGGAAGACTCTGTCCTTGCTGAAGGGTGGCGGGCTGGCCCGGCTCGCATATCCTGCACGGGTAACTGAGGGGAAGCTCCTACTTGCTCAGAGATCACCCATCTGCCCTCAAAATAGGGGTTTAATCAACTGACGTAAGCGTGCTTGCAGGGGTTTTTCCCCCTGACTGAACAACCTTTGCACACTGTTTTGGGACTCTGTGGCTCAGATTTCATTGAGGACCCAAACTCTCAGGGAGACAGAGGTGGAGAAGGGCAAATTCAGACTCTGCAAATGTCAGCCGTCCCATCGCACCACTCTCAGCAGACCCCAGAAGTCTCAGAAGACCCTGGAAGTGCCTCACCCAGCAGGCACTTCCAATGTGCCGGTGCTCCACCACTGCGCGTTCGAGGCTGGGTCCGACCCTTGGCTCTCCTGGAGCCTGTTCTCAGCGTGTGCCATCGCTGAACCCACACTAGGTTATCAGCCTGACAGGTGCAGCATCACAAGTTACATCTTCCAATGTGATGGTCCAGCATCAAAGGACGTTGTAGATCTGTGGGTTTGAGAAGGCAAGGTGACACTCACAGGACCGTAAAACAAAAATGGGCCAAGATCTGCCTGTTTCCGTCTGCTCTGACATGGGGGTGGTGCAAGTGTAACTCAGAGCAGTGCTTATGCCAGGGCTCTTGCGTGGTCACCTGTCTCTGCCTCCCACAATAATCCGTGGGCATTTCTTTTTGTAGGTGGTGAGCCTCATCCTTTCTGATGTGATTGGTGACCCCCTGGACATCATAGCGAGTGGGCCCACTGCTGCCAGCTCCCACAGTGTCCAAGACTGCCTTCAGATACTCGCCAAATACAACCTGCTGCACCACCTGCCCAAGTCAGTGGAAACGGTCCTGTCCAGCTCTCCCACCAAGCTCACTGCTATGGAAGACTACTCCCACGTTTGCAACATCATCATCGGGTCAAACACACTGGCTTTAGACGAGGCCAAACACCAAGCCGAGGGCCTGGGCTACGCAACTCTGCTTCTGAGTGCGGCAATCTGCGGGGAAGTCAGCCGCGTCGCCACGCTGTACTGCCAGCTGATCCGGCTGGTCTGCCTGGGCTTCTCTGGCCTCGGGGAAGGGACCCTGAGTGACGAGGTGAGAGGGAATCTCCTACAGCTGGCAGCAGAGCTAGAGATCCCGGGTTTGAACCTTGCTGAGTTTCTACAGGCCCTGCGAGGATTAGGGCCTGAAAGACCAGTCTGCATCCTGGCCGGTGGAGAAACCACGGTTCAGCTTCATGGAACTGGCAAGGGAGGGAGGAACCAGGAGCTGGCCCTGCACGTGGGGCTGGGGCTGCACAGGGCACAGGCGGTGGAGACCAGCAGCCCCCTGGGGAGGTGCGAGATCGTCTTCCTCAGTGGGGGAACGGATGGGCAGGACGGGCCGACGGAGGCGGCAGGGGCCTTCTGCAGCCCAGAGCTGGTGGCTGAGGCGCTGCAAGAGGGCCTCAGTGTGGAGGCCTTTCTCAGCAACAATGACTCCTATACGTTCTTCAGCCAGTTCCAAGGTGGGCATCACCTCCTGGTGACAGGCTTGACGGGCACCAATGTCATGGACATCCAGGCCATTTTAATTAGAGCCACGGAGAGATCATGAGACATCCCTCTGCAGATACCCAGATGCATTTAATTAGGGCCGGGGGGTAAATGAAGGCATCAACACTGCAGACAAATGTAAACTACTTAAATTAGGGCTCACTGTCGAGGGTGCTAATATCTTTGACAGAAAGAATCCACTAATTAGACACATGAGTGGATGTCCACAGCAAAAGCAAGCACTTGTAATTGGGATCAGAGGAAGGTAGGAGGTCACATTACAGACACGGAGGCCGGATTTAACACTTCTGCTGAGAGCTGCCACTCTTGTGACTGCTTCAACTCTAGTTAAAAGATGCGGGGAAATTGAGGCCATGGTGGGGCTGCCAGGGAGAGCCCTTGCTGTGGCTGTTGCACCTCCAGTGCGCCCAGCTGAAGAACAGCTCATCGGGGGGGGCTTTTGCAGGTTCACAGAAGTGCATTACAGCGTCTGAAGGATGTAAAAGCAATAGCAAGGCCTGCCCAGCTGGAGGCATGGAGGTGCTGGGGGACACACTGGGAAGGGGACACCCAGCACCAGCTCCACGCACCAGCACAGTGCCCTGCAGGTCCTCCCACACCAGGGTGCCCTAGGCGACACAGGGACCCTGAGCCCAGCACGATGCACACCCAGCAGCGCGGCTAAGGAGCACGTTGGACGAGAGCAGCGTTTCGTCTTGGACGCGTGACACAAAAGCAGTGCACAGTGACACAGAGGGTGGTATACCTTCACTGTGCAGCATGAGGAAGGGGACGATTGAGGTGCAGTGGCGAGCCAGCTGAGTGGAGCCCTTCTCCTCCAGCCTTGCTGATCCCTGTTGGGAGAGTCTCCGTGGCAGCGGTGTGTATGCTATGAGCTTTCACGGTGTTGTCTTCCAACTGCCTAGAAAACAGTCGTGCATCCAGCCTGAGCCACTGACCTTTCTTCCGCGCTGAGGCAGAAGTCGTTGTCACTCTGATTAACTCGGCTAATTCTGCAGAACAAAAGGCAAGGAAACCTTCACGCTCGGCTCTCCTGACCCATGCTGCTGAGCTGATCAAAGGGCAAAGCTGCCGGAGCCGTGCTTTGACAGGGAGCCTTTCCCCTGCATGTATGAGGACGTGGTGGTTATCGCAGTTTCATCACCTACTGCAGTGCAATATGTAGGAGAGCAGAGATGAGCTGGCTTTCCCAGGATGTGGAGCCCATGGTGGGGCTGGATTTCAGAAGGGCTCTGCCTGTAGTAACAGGCACTGTGACGGTTTTGGCTGGATATTCAAAGGACTTCAGCTCAGCAGCCAGTATGACCCAACACGTCCGACTCCTTTTGAATATCTGCCTGTTTGTTACAGAGCCTAAGTGGGAGCTGAGCTCCTTTGAAAATCCAGCCCTAATTTAATAGGACACGCTTGACTCAGATTCTTTCCAGACAGACCTACTCCATGTGGCTGATCTCGTCTCGTGACATAAATACACCATCCTGCCAACACTGTGAGTCGTGGTGTCTCACTGAACAATCATTCTGTGCCCCGCTCCAAGATGGATCGGAGGGTGGATTTTTGAGGAGGATGCGACACCTCCTGCTTTGGTTTCGAAGCCAGTATCTAACAAGCAGGGATATCAGCAGGACCCTCACGGGGCCTGGTATCAATGCCAGGCTGGTAGCTGGACTGTCTGGGCCACAGCCCAGGCATAGCGTCAAGGCACAAGCCTGGGGATTTCAAAACCCCGGTCTTACCCTGGCGGTTTAAACTCGTCCACGCATCTCATTTGTCCTCCGAGTCTGAAGGTCTTCTGTAACATGCCTGAACTTGCTCGCACTGGCAAACAGCTTTGAGATCTGCTGGGGAAAACCTGCCAAGCGTTATAAAGCTCGCTGTGCCCCCGTAATGTCAGGTGGTGGTTGCACAGGAGAAGCTGCTTTGTGCCGTGCATTTTTCTCCGGAGGTCGCCAGCAGGTTGCTGGCAGGTCGCCTCCTCCGTGCCCAGCATGCCAGCACCGCGGGGGCACTAACGCGCAGTGATACAGTCAAAAAGTATGGGCTGCGGCCAGGAGAACTCGCTAAAGCTGGCTCCAAAATGTAGTTAATGCTTCCTGTCCAATTCTGCTCCAGTGAAATCCAGAGTGACTCCGGTTTCGGGCTGGGGTGCCTGGCAGAAGGGTCCCTGGCATCTTCAGCAGCAGGTCTGGCACGCCAGCCTGGGCACGCTGTCACAGGCCCCCCGTACCCCTGCAGCCCTGCCACATTGCTGAGCACCCTGCTAGTCCTTGGAGCTGCTGCTTGCGCCGCGTCATGGCCAAGTTCAGAAGACCTTGGGCTAGCGCTCGCCAGCTTCTCCTGGGAAATGCCTACGTGTACCCTGAGCGGTGTCCTTGCTTTCTAAACAGTGGCTTTTCACTAACGATTAAAAAGAGTTTGTGTGGGGGAGAAGAGAAGGCTAATAAAAGGTTTGTTGAAAGGATGGAGCTGTTTGAAGTGCATTTCACATCTACATTTGCTCGGCCTCCATATACGGTTTTTGTTCTTGTCCCTTCTTTTCTAATGAGATAACAGGACAGGGGGAGGTTGGCCAAGGACACCCAGGTTACAGAAACACTCTTCTGATGCTTCTACCTGGATAGATCGAAGCTCCGTTTCTGAGGGATTGCTTGGGTGGACCTTATACATCTCCTGCCTAGGGAGGAAAGGAGCTTTGGAGCGTGTGCACCCCTTACAAACAAGGCATCATTTTATTCCTCTGGACAATGCTCAGCACAGAATTGCCTCTTACTGCTCCAGCCCGGAGCCAGCTCCCTCTGACCTGCAGTCCCTTCGCGGACAGCAAAAGACCCCACGCATGAACCAGCATACATTTGGGCCGCGCTGGTCGGGTTTTGCAAGGATTTGTGAGATAACAGTTGCATCTAAAGACGCAACAGCATTCCTTACCTGCGAAGTAACGATTTGCCTCTGGGCTGTCGGAGCCTGCCAGGAGCGATGACTTCCCTGTCGGGAACTTGAGTGAGTCACAGCAGCCGAGCAGGGCTTTGCAGCTTGCCCGCGCTGTCCTGGATGGGATATTAGCATCATGTGAGCGTACCCGGGCAAGTGAAGAAACCCGGAGGGCGACTGTGGTCACACCAAGTGATCCCAGCCTGCGGGGCCATGCTGGGCCCAGCTCTGCGCCATCCTGGCTCTGGCATGCTTGCGCCTAAGGAGACAAGTCACAGAAGGAGCGAGGACAATAAAAGCTGCTTGGTTTTGACGCTCCCAGATCCCTTCCCTTTTTACCGGAAAAGCAAAACTCTTTCTACACCAGCCAGCCTCCAGGAAGGAGGGAGATGGGTGGAGATGGCCAACAGCTCCCTGGCCACGTCCCCGTACATGGGCAGGGGACACAGGGACAGCCGTTGGGAACAGCACGCCCAGCCGCTGGGCAGGGAGCGGGCAAGCAGAGCCTGGGTACGGTCGGGGTTGATTTGCTCTCCTAAGCGGGCTGCTTGTAGCCAAACAGTGCTAATGGCCGGGAGAAGTAACTGCGTTATTAACAGTGCGAGCTTTTGGCAGTAAATTAAAAATCTTGGCTGCCGCCCTTGGCTCTGCTCTTGCCTCTTAGGAGACATTAATATCACAGCTCCCCAGCATTCCCATTATCACTTCATTAAGGATCCAATAATGATAAATGTGGATGGTTTTATTTTGCACGGAGCCTGATTAATGGCTAATATTTCACTAGGTGTTAATGGGCCCCTTCCTTTATGGAGGGATCGGAAGGGGCTGCCTTTCATCTCCACAAGCCAGGTAATTTTCACTGTTTTTGCTAATGTGACAGATTTAACACAAACCTTGAAAGAGCGGCTGAGGCCTC